AAGAACTTGGACCGAACGACTTGAAATCGACATGATCTCCCTACAATGAGCTTAACTATATAAACAGAAGGTAATTAGGGGTATACCCTTCAGTTCGGTCGAAGATTGCACGATGACTTGCGTGTGGATGTAATGCTTAAACGTGTGCGAGCTTTCTTCCCTTGTGCTTCCACATTCCTTAGTTGTTTTTGTGTAATTTTTCTACTATTATTTCCTTACTATTTTCTCTCTGTTCTGGTACACTAAAAATGGATGAATTCACGTGAAATTGCATGAGGAAAAACGCTCCATATGTTTGGTTATGTAAAGAAGTAAAACCGAGGTAAGTTTGGAGTCAAAGGGGTGAAAGATGAAGCACTCTCCCCCTAATGCCAAGTGTTCTACACGTGTGCTGAGGTGGGACGTCCTTTAGCTTAGTCACGGCCGAGGTGGCAAGCATGCACGGGCTTAGTCATCGCCCGTGCGTGCGTGGGGCGCCGTGTGTGCAAGCACATAGGTGATTCATCACCCCACTTGCACACCCAACCTTTATCCTTGTATTTTTCTTCATGAAATTCTTAGGGAGGGGATTTGACTTGATGATGTTGCTAAGCGTCGCCTAAGTGCGTGCTTAGCGGGCTAATGCTGCTGTGCGCGCTGCGCGCTGCGCGCTATGCGCGACGATGCCCGTCGTGTGCGTCCGCGTGCGTAGCTATGCGCACGGCATGCGTGCATGAGTACGTGCATGGTGTACTTTGTGCGTTTGTGCCTCAACTTGATTTTTAACCTTGAACTTAGATACATTCTCAATAATTAATCCCGATTAATAATGTCCGTTTAAAAAAAATAAACGGTTCGGAAATTAATTACCGAATTTAACTCGGTTAATACTTAACCGGATAAACCTTTTCGACTTAACGTCGAACGTATTCGCTGAAAATGAACGGAATCGATAAAAGATAATACATCTTATTAACAAGGAGTTGGGTTATTACAATCTACCCTCCTTAAAATATTTCCGCCCTCGGAAATATAAAACAAAACATATATACATGAAAATATACATATCAGAACTGAAAGTCAGGAAAACGAGCGCGAATGTCAGCCTCCTGCTCCCAAGTAGCTCCGTGGCGATCCCACTGAATACGTACGAGGGGAACATTACGCTTCCGGAGCCGTCGAACCTGTCGGTCTAAAACAACTTCCGGTCGCTCCTCATAAGATAAGTCTGGATGAATCTCAACATCAGTATGAGGAATGACATGATCGGGGTCGCACACGTACTTGCGTAACATAGATACATGAAAAATATTGTGAACACTGGACAACTCGGGAGGTAAGGCTAAACGATACGCAACATCGCCCACTCACTCGAGTACTTCGAACGGGCCAATAAACCGAGGGTGTAACTTCCCTCTTTTCCCGAATCGAGTAACTCCGCGAAATGGACTAACTCTGAGAAAAGCATGCTCGCCAACCTCAAACTGGATGTCTCGTCGATGATGATCGGCAGTCGATTTCATTCTGCTCTAAGCTGTTCTGAGTCTCTGCCGGATCAACTCGACTTGCTCGGCTGTCTCCTCGATCAGTTTCGTACCGAGTACTCGACGTTCTCCGACGTCGTCCCAATAAAGAGGGGAACGGCATTTACGACCGTATAGTGCCTCATAAGGAGCCATCTGAATAGAAGAATGATAACTGTTGTTGTACGCAAACTCGACGTACGGCAATAAAGACTTTCATTTAGCACCCCTGTCAACAGTCAAAGCGCGTAACATATCCTCTAACGTCTGTATGGTCTGCTCCGTTTGTCCGTCAGTCTCGGGATGGTAGGCTGAATTGAAGGCTAACTTCTTACCCATTGCCTCGTGTAAACTCTTCCAGAATCTACTGGTGAATCTGGGGTCTCTGTCTGACACAACCGTAACATGTACTCCATGGAGTCGAACGATCCCACGGACATAAATCTCAGCCAACCGATCCAAAGACATACTCATCGATACTGGCAAGAAATGGGCAACCTTAGTCTATCTGTCGACCACGACCTAAATAGCGTCGTGATGTTCAGATGACCTTGGTAACCCCGTAACGAAATCCATCGCAACCTCCTCCCACTTCCACCTCGGAATCGGCAGTGGTCGTAGAAGGCCTATCGGACTCTTATGCTCGGCTTTGACTTGCTGACAGGTCAAACATCTTCTTACAAAGTCGGCAACATCTTTCTTCAATCCTTTCCACCAAAACGACCCTTTCAGGTCATGGTACATTTTTGTGCTTCCTGGATGGGCTATATAGGGTGCAGTATGAGCTTCAGATAAAATCTCCTTCCTCAATGCTTCGACTTTCGGCACCACAATCCTGCCACGAAACTCCAAGGCCCCATCAGTGCCTCGGTGAAAACCCTCGACGCCTCCGGCACGAACCTTAGCATCAATCGTACGAATGAACTCATCTGAAGCCTGCTCTTGCCGGATTTTCTCCCTCAGCGTCGGATGAACTTGCATGGAATTTACACTCCCCAAACTGGCTATAGGAAGTGCATCAACTAGCTGGATCTGCATCCGGGCAAACTCATGAATCAACCGACTCTGCTGAGTAACAACGTACGTCAAATCGCCCTTTACCTTGCGGCTTAGGGCATCAGCAACAACATTTGCCTTTCCCGGGTGGTACTGGATCGTACAGTCGTAATCCTTGACGAGTTCTAACCAACGGCGCTGCGTCATGTTGAGCTCTTTCTGGGTAAAGATGTATTGCAAGCTCTTATGATCAGTAAAGATTTCACATTGACCGCCGTATCGATAGTGTCGCCAAATCTTGAGGGCATGAACAACTGCAGCCAACTCCAAGTCGTGCGTCGGATAGTTCTGTTCATGTATTTTAAGCTGGCGTGATGCATAAGCAACGACCTGGCCGTCTTGCATAAGTACACATCCCAAACCCTGCCTCGAGGCATCACTATAAATGGTGAAGCTCCGAGAAGGATCGGGTATAGTCAACACCGGTGCCGTCGTAAGCCTCCTTTTCAGCTCCTGAAAACTCGACCCACAACGGTCTGTCCACTCGAACTTTACAGACTTCCTCGTCAGTTGAGACAAAGGGAGTGCAATCTTCGAGAATCCCTCGATAAATCGACGATAATAACCTACAAGACCGAGGAAACTACGAACCTCAGATGGATTCTTTGGTGCTGACCAATTCTGGACTGCAGCAATTTTGGAAGGATCACCTTCAATACCTGCTGAAGTAATAATGTGGCCAAGAAGAGCCACTCGCTGAAGCCAAAATTCGCACTTGGAGAACTTTGCATATAACTTCTCTCGTCTAAGGGTCGAAAGAACGACCCTCAGGTGCTCGTCGTGCTCCTCCTGGCTTTTGGAATAAATAAGAATATCATCGATAAAAACAATAACGAACTGGTCGAGAAAAGGATGAAATACACGGTTCATCAAGTCCATGAATACTGCCGGGGCATTACTGAGGCCAAACGGCATAACCACGAACTCGAAGTGACCGTATCTCGTACGAAAAGCTGTCTTGGGTAGGTCTGACTCCTTGATTTTCAGCTGATGGTAGCCTGAACGCAAATCGATCTTAGAAAACACGCAAGCATCCCTCAACTGATCAAATAAATTATCGATCCTGGGAAGTGGATATTTATTTTTGATCGTCAACCGGTTAAGATCCCGGTAGTCGATACACATACGCATAGATCCATCCTTCTTTTTGACAAAAAGGACTGGTGCTCCCCAAGGGGAAACGCTCGGTCGTATAAAACCGAGATTCAGCAACTCTTGAATTTGGGTCTTTAATTCCTGCAATTCTTTAGGCGCCATCCTGTACGGTGCCTTTGGAACGGGTCCGGGTCCAGGGATAAGATCAATAGAAAATTCCACCTCTCGGCAAGGCGGACCTCCGGGAAGCTGGTCTGGAAACACGTCCACAAACTCACGAACGATAGGAATGTCATGAGGTGAACGTGCCTTTGACTCATCTCCAACGAGGCTCACAAGATAACCCTGACAATTACCCCGTCGAAGAATCTTTCTGGCTTTCGCCATAGAAATGATATGTGGCAGAGTACGAGTCCTGGAGCCATAATAAATGATATGATCATCTCCCGGAAGATAAAGAGTAATCTCCCGGTCATAACATCGAATATCTGCGTGAAATCGAGTTAGCCAATCCATACCGAGTATGAGGTCAAAATCCCTCATCTCGATAACATAAGTATCAGTAAACAAAATACGGCCGCCGATGGAAAGGCTGAGATCGGTGGCTCTAGCGTTAGTCACTATCTTTCTTCCCGAGGCTAAACTCACCTCGAGAGGATCGACGGCGGTAGTGGAACGAACCCCAATAGCTTCGAGACATCGACGTGATATAAAAGAATGGGTCGCTCCGGTATCAAATAAGGCAGAGACAGGCACATCATTAAGAATAATCATCCCGGACATGGTACCTGGATGCTTGTCGGCCTCCCTCTGGTCAACTGCAAAAACACGAGCCTGCTGTCTGCCGCGTTGCTGTTGCTGTGGTCGTGGTGGTTGCTGCCTGGGCTGCTGTTGTTGAAGTGGCTGTTGTTGAGGTTGCTGTGGCTGTTGACGTTGTTGCGGTTGTTGTTGCAATCATTCTGGACAGTTATTGCTGAAGTGACCTGGCTGGCGGCAAAAGAAACAAACATTCTGGCCAACAAGGCATTCTCCACGATGGTGTTTCCCGCAGGTTGGGCATTCTGGATATTGTCTGGGACGGGTCCTCCGGTCATCAAGAGTGTTTCTGTACTTCCTCTTCTTCTGGTTCTTTGACGGTTGGCAACTTTAGGCTGGGCTGATGGCTGAGCAACTGGCTGGGCTGGTGTCTGGATGGCTTCACGTCGGATACTGGCATCGACTTCCTGTGCAATGGCAACTGCGCGGGCATAGGTCTGGACGCCGTGGCCTACGATGTTGTGGCGGACTGCTGGGCGAAGTCCGTCAGTGAAGCGGTGGGCTCTCTTTGCTTCCGTACCTACAAGATCTGGTACAAAAGCTCCGAGACGGGTGAACTCTCGTTCGTACTCGTCAACAGTACGAGTACCCTGAGTGAGCGCCAAGAACTGGCGCTCCATGTCTGCTCGGAAATACGAGGGATAATACTTTTCTCGGATCAGTTCCTTGAATTGGTCCCACGTACAACCGTCTTTTTCACCGGGACGCATACTCCAATAGGCTTGCCACCAGAGTCTGGCATCACCGGTCAGCTGGATCTGGGCACATAACATGCGATAACGGTCGGGGCAGTTCATGACCTCGAAAATAATCTCGAGACCCTGAATCCATTCATCTACTACACGACGATCTCCTTGGCCGGAAAACTTTTTTGGATGGTAGTCGCGGAACAACGCGACCACTGTGGCCTCTGGGAGTTCCTGGTGATCTGGCTCTCTACGAGGAGGCATCTGAATATTGAAATATTTAACATGATTAAATAACATAAGAGATAAACTGATTGATTACTTAAGTACACAAATCTCTTGACGAGTCGCTAAATAACCCGAGAATACTAAAGTCGAACTATCGAATAACTAGGATAATCGACTAAGTTCTGAAAATACTCGAGCACCTTACTCGTTTTCTAGGGTCAATAATCTGGTACCCTCTACTGAGCATAGACTTAAGTATTCATTTAAATATACAAATAAACTAAACTTCAGCACTTACCTGATAGTCGGCGAGGCGTGAGCGTAGCGTGGTCGGGTCTTTTTCTGAAAATTTCTACCTTTAAAAGTATTCAGATACACGAAAATGTGCTCTGATACCAATTTGTAACATCCCACTAGCTTACTAAAATCAGAGTGCGGTTTTCGCAAATTCTTTTCTAAAGTTTACGTTTATTTTGCGAAACCTATTTCGGGATGCTACATAAAATATTCATTTTCTAAAAATCCGTTAACTATAAACACATTTACGAAAAATGGATTATCATTGTAAAACAAGCGCGTGATACTGTATATAACTAGACCCGAGAACTCGGATCGTCGTCTGAAAATTTACACGCTAGTTTGAAAGTCTGAAAACATTAGCAGAAGTAAAACGTGGCAAATATATACATA